TGGGTCTACTACGCCGCGATGGTCGCCGATGTCATCATACGTTTCAACTGGATTTACTATGCTATTTTTGCCAGGGATATGCAACACTCAGCTTTACTGAGCTTTATGGTCGCCCTGTCTGAGATCTTTCGAAGGGGCGTCTGGACGATATTTCGCGTGGAGAATGAACACTGCACCAACGTACTTCTTTTCCGAGCATCAAGGGATGTTCCTTTGCCTTACGAAGTGGCTTCCCCCGAGGTCGAAGTGGACCGTCCAGGAGAAGATGTGCAGCTTCAGGATCAACACGCAACCACACCTCTGTCCGCTCCTGCAGACGTTGAACACGGAACACCAGTTACACCAGGGCTGAGTACTCATCCGCGCGGCCTTTCTCGCGTTGGTTCGCTCATGGCGGCTGCTCACGCTCAAGACTTCGAGCGGAGGAAGCGTCCAGATCAACTGACTGGGGCTTCTGCAGCCCATGGCCCGACGACTACCGACGACACAAGTGACGAAGAGGAAGATGATCCGGTTGACCCTCGACAAGATACCGACACAGATGAAGCTGTGTCAGAACGCTTGCCAGATGCAGACGCTCGAAGAACACCCAAGTAATGGACTATTGGGAGAGTTCGTCGGAAATATGACCGATTTCTTGCACATATTTGGCGTCTTAAACGGTAGCATTTTGATTAATGACTAACTGATTTGTTTATGCCATGATTTACGAATATAGAAGATAGATAATACAATCACTGATAATACGAGTTCTGTGGCCTTCTTTTGTAATTCTTTGTTTCTTCCATGTTCGACGACTTGTCGACTCCGTTCTATGCTGCGGCTGCACCACGTGATAAAAGACGTCACATGGTCTGGAAGCTCCCCCCGGCCTCATCATATCGAGCTTATCTGTCGCCTCCCATCCTCGTCCATCAGAGGTCTCATCGTTTTCAGCCATTTTCGTACTCACAGGGAGAATTTTCGGTCTCGAATCTGCAGCAAAATGGCTGCCAACACCAGATACGAACCAGCTCCTCAAAGGGACTCCTTCGAGGACCAACCCTACCCTCAGGCCCCGCCATCTTATCAGGCAACCGCGAGCAGTGATGCGCCTCGCCGTGAGGACGACAATGTCCCCGACGACTTCAAGGTATGCGACCCTGAACTTATCGGTAGATAACAATGCTGATTGCGTTCCACAGTTTGGCGGCACTGTTGCGGAGGGCACCCTGCCCATCCGTATGCAGTTCATTCGCAAGGTCTACGCGATCCTGTAAGCAGGTCCCCTCGCAAGCGATACATACAGCGCCTGGCATTCTAACAATAATCTCCGCGATCAGGACCATCCAGCTCCTTCTCACAACAATCATGAGTTCGATCTCTTTCTTCAGTGAGAGCTACCGCCTCTGGATCCAGTCCAACTTCTGGCTCATGATGGTCTCCGTATTCGGCGCCCTCGGCTTCATGCTGGTTACGTACTGGAAGCGCAAGAGCTATCCCGCCAACCTCCTCTTCCTCTCCGGCTTCACCCTGCTAGAAGCCTACTCCATCAGCGTGGTGACCTCCTTCTATGACGCCCGCATCGTCGTCCAAGCGCTCATCCTCACCCTCGGCATCTTTGTCGCGCTCACCTTGTTCGCCTGCCAGACCAAATACGACTTCACCAACTGGATGCCGTACCTCTTCGGGGGCCTTTGGTTCCTGATTCTCTTCGGGTTCATGTCGGCGTTCTTCCCGTACAATAGCACCGCGGAGCTGATCTACGGTGGGTTGGCGGCGTTGATCTTCTCGGCTTATATTCTCGTTGATACTCAGCTGGTTATGCGCCATTACCACGTTGAGGAGGAGATCGCCGCTGCGATCTCGCTTTACCTGGACATCCTCAACCTGTTCCTGGCTATTCTGCGGATTTTGAACAATCAGAACAACCAGTAAGTAATTTCGATGTGGATACATCAGACGCGGTGGCCACCAGTCGAATTAAAGATGGTCAAACACACCCTATACTCAATCTCGCCAACGATCTAGCAATAACGAATTGAAGATGACAGCACTATTGGCGGTTTAGTATGCAACGTTCCAGGCTAACTACCAAACCTCAACTATTTTCATTCGCTCCCCTTGACCATGGTTTATCCCGTATTCTATTAATGAGCGTTCCCTCTTGCAATCTGTTTTCGTTCTCCTTTGCTACAGTCGGGGCTCTAGTGATGATCGAATCTCTATCATAATAGGAATCAGGCAATTCTTACTTATTGTGACCAGCACCATCAGAATAGTAGTATATATTCAGAATATCAAGCTTTGATTTGTGTCAGATACGCAGTATGCAAGCTTACATGAATGATCCTGAGCAAGTAGTCCAGAAAACTGGTAATATGATAAATTGCCATCATACTATCAAAGCAAACACCATTCGCCTGATCAAGAAGCATTCTTGGTATGATGATCTCACGACTCAACGGAATGAACCCGATATCTATCAAAGTAGAAGGTAAACATGGTAGAAAAAGGTGATAAAACTAAGAAAAGAAAAAAGGTAAACGTATCAGCTAGGCCGATCCAAACTGACCCTTCCAACGCCTATGGATGGTATCGCAGTGACAAAGCTCCAAGTAGTAAATAAGTAGGTAACATAGAAAGGAAGGAGTTTCGGCCAAGTCACACTATGAAATGAGGAAAGTTGTCCAGACACGCCTGCTCCGAAAGAATGATGAAGTGGACGCGGGAGGAAAAGCAATGGAATAATTCGAATCAAGCTTATCATAAAAGGGCGACGATAGCAGGCGACGATATTCATCATAGTGACATGACGATTTCAGTGCGAAGCTATGAAGAATGTATTCACAATCAAACACACGATCATGACAAGGATGCCGTATACCACGAGCGCTAAACTCAACTTCCGCAGCAGGCCTCTACGCCAGTGTCGGTTGGTAAGTCGGAGAATTGCGCTGTCGGTAAGTGGAAGGTTCTGGCCGCCCTCGATATCGTTTTCGTCAGAATTTTCGTCGTCGGAGAGTATGTTGTCAATTGCTTCGTCATCTTCTTTCATGAGTCGCTGATGGGTCGGCGAGTCAGGAGACGAAATTTTATAGTAGAAAAGGCCCGGAAGGATGAAGCTGATGCTGGTACTTCCGGTACTACCAACGTACGCCAATACCGCTTCAAGCGAGGACACGGTCATCGCCACGATATAGCTTAGTATAAGAATTGTCGTCGTAATGAGTGAGAACCGCAGATCGCTCATGGGCTCGGGAGCCCGGTGGCCCCTTGGCCCGAGCAGAGGGTGACGGTGAGGCGAGTTATCGCTTCCAGCAGCAGGCTTAGGTCTCCACCGAAGCACTGCATCAATTGAGGCTCGACACGGGTGGCATTGAAGTGGGTATGAAAACATAACGAGCATGACGATAGCAGCACGTCCAATGGTCGCCCAGACACCTGGTGGGTACATGCTCACAATGTTACCCCCGACATTGTCTCCAAAAGAGAGATAGCCTGTGATGGCCACGAGAATGTACGTCGCTGCAGAGCTTCCGATACTGGCTAGCACAACGCCTGTCACCCGGAAGTGACTGTTGTTGCTAATTTCGTTCAATATAGAGAACATCTGCTTCCTGTCAGCATGCTATGTCAGTAGTCAAGACCGTGCAGGCGGCTTACATTTTGATGGCAGGTGAATGCAAAGACGATGACTGGAAGACTACTGAGCGCCGGGATGGGACCAGCCCAATGGATCAGACGGACGGGACCTCGATTGTCCATTGTGTCTCCCTTTACAAAATGATAGACAACCAGTATGACCAGGTAGCCCATTGACACCAGAGCGGCGATACTCGTATACTTCAGAGAGTCCAGACGTCGAAGATAAGAGAGAGGAATAACAATTAACCTGGGATGAGTCGTCAGCACAGGCCCAACTCAACTTTGAGAGTTGTTGGACAACGTACATGAAAGCAGTAACCCAGAAATGCCGGTCCACTAGGAAGTCATATGCTGGAGTGGTACCAACGAAGCCCTGTACCACACCTGGCATCAAGTCGCCAATAATGATGAGGTAACTGACCCCTACTCCAAAACATTTGATCGCGATAGCAGCGTCGAAAACGACGGCCGCATTGGGATATGTGAGCTGCGATAAGGCGAAGAAAGACGAACTGCCTCGATCGAGGTACTGTGCGCATCGAGCTTGAAGGTAAAGGCCGAGTCCAGCGGTCATTCCGGACCAGAGAATGACGCAGATACCGAGGACGATTCCCATACGAGAGATGGCGAGTGGCATCGCCAGAACGCCGGCACCGATGACTGTTGTGACACGATTCTATCAGCTCCGGAAATATATGAAACCAATGTCCCAATCACTATACTTACTCGTATTGACAAGGTTGATCACGCAGCTGATCCAACTGGCATCACCTTGAAACCCCGATGTTCGTTTCCCCCGTGCTCCACGTCTAAGCATGATTGCCACTGATTAGCAAGAAGTCCAACTACAGCGGTACCAGATCAACAATACCGTCGCGATGAATTCCGGAGTCCATCGCCGGGGCCGACCCCGACTACAGCATCCTCTCCCATCATCTTTGGTGAGGGTGTGGAGATAATCCTCTTGACTGATAAGGGTAGTGGGCACGAGGGCTGTTCTAAGAGTTGTTATCACCAACTGGAGATGAGATGGGGTCGTCCAACATAACAACTCAGACCAGCAGAGAGGAAATATAAGTACCAAGAAAAAAGTGTAAACGAATGAAAGATCTGAAAGCAAGAAGGTCAATTTTGAAGGGGCTACATCAGGGAGGCCGGGGATGATGACTGGAGATGAGATGGTGCCAGGCCCAGCCGGACTTGCGACAAAAAGCGGAGGGCAATTTCGGCCCATCTGGGTTTAGCGTGGCTGACTTATCATCTGCTTATCTCACGGTTATCTACGGATCTACACGATCTTCCCATATCTACTATATATTGTCAACTATCAAAATGTTCATCATATTCCCCACTGAAGCTACATGAATTAAAAACTAGAGCTTTGTCTTTGGTGCTCCCCATCCTTCCGCCGAAAGCAAATCATATACCTCATCCTCTACCTTGTTCATGTCCGACACAGTGTTTCCCCGTCGTCCTGTTGGTCCAGGGTCATTGAATGCACTCACAACGCGAACGCTCTTGGAGACTTCCAAAATAGTCCCCCCTTGCACGGGGAATTGAGTGCCATGGCCCGATTTGTCTCCAATAACCTCGCTGACACTGTCTTGCTGGATGAGAGCTAGCATCACTTCAGCCACCTCTTCTGGGGTTACCCATTCGTCGGCTTTGTCGTCAACCATCTTCAGTTTTTCTGGATGATCCGTCCATAGAGGTGTTTTGATGACTCCCGGGGCAACAGCAGTCACACGGATGCCAAATTTGCTGTCAAGTTTAGCCAACGATCGCACCAGACCATTGATCGCGTGTTTCGTAGCTACATATATTGGCGCGGCCAGTGCTGGGCTCTGCCCTGCGATACTGGAAATATGGATGATATGCTTCGGTCTTTCGCTACTTCGATTGCGCAGAAAGTGAGATATAGCCAACTGAGTCGTGCGGATCGGATGTGTCAAGTTGATATCCAGCAAAGCATATCGACCTCCATCTCGTGGATCACGGCTTTCTGGAGTCCCGGGAGGTCGCCAGAAATTGGACCAGTGCTGCAAGCCGTCAACAAACAGCTCAAAATTTGGAATCAGTCAGGTAAGACCAGCCTGCACGACATACCGGTTCGTAGACCCCAGCACCTGGACATACAATGTCGACATCACCAAATTCTCTCACCGCAACCTCAAACATATTCTCTAGCTGCATCCAGTCGATGACATCTGTTTTCTGGAAGACGGCTCGATTGGGTGTGTTTGACTGACTGGAATAATTGCTCACCACCTCCTGCGCCTCAGGTCGAAGGGCCAGGTCTGCGATTAGAACGTTGCACCCATTCTCAAGCAGGAGTTTGGCGAAACATAAGTTGATACCTATCAGGGGTTAACCAAGATATACATGTAGTGAGGATCCGAGATGGCTGAATTGCCTTACGTACCTGAACCTGCACCCGTTACAATTGCAGATTTTCCTTTGACGGAGAAAGCCATGTTGTTGAAGGCTCAAGGTGGAGTTTGGTTGAGGCGAGGGCTTCTCCCAAGGTTTCCAGGTCTACGCTTAAATGCCATAGCAGTACAAGCCCCCCGTCGGAGAATCCTGCTGATTCCTTGCTGTCGTACCACCTTGGATCTACGCATTGAGGGGATGCGCGGGGTTGAATTGGCCCGAGGGTGACTGCTCCAACCCGGAAGAATGCCGACTTATAGATAATGATGCTCTGCTTCCACAAGAACATTACTTTTGATCCAAGTCTGTCGCATGACTATGGTTTCTTCCATGGTAAATTTTGTGGACCGTATCCATTTGCTTGAATTAAAAGCCGAAGAGCATGTTCTGCATCATGTCGTTTTGCCCATACTCCGCAGCAGAGCGGACACTTGCTTTATTTGGAAAGCGTGCCGCCTACCGTTTTCGGTATCCCGCCCAGTTCTCCAATGATGTATACTGTCATACCGATGGCAACAATGTGTATATAAATCAGGGAAAGACCTTGAGTTGAAATATGGAATACTAGTCAACAGTCTACTAAGGCACGATCAAGCATTTCATCAGTATGTCGGCGTCGAAACTTCTCTCTAGAGCGGCCGTTCGTGGTGCCTCTACATCAACATCAACATCACATATGACCAAGACCGCTGGGGACATTTCGAGTGTGTTTCCAAGCTTGCGACCTGACTACAAACCTGAACCGCTGCCTCCACGGTTCAAGGAGCTGAAACAAAGGCTGTTCGAGAAAAATGAGAAAGCTCTAGTGCAAAGCTGGAAGAGACTGCTGGAAAGCCTAGAGAAAGAGGTGCATGAGATCAAGGCCAAGGGCAGCGATGTATGTGATTCCGCAACTCATGTCCACTCTAGTATGCTGATTGTTGGCAGATTATACCATCGGTACAATATGCAGATATTGTGTCCGGCAGAGTCTCGGATATAGCCCTTGCTGAGATATTGCATCGCGGATCTGTCGTGATCAGAAATGTGATCCCTCGAAAAGAAGCTCGAGGTTGGAAAGATAGGATCGAAGAGTATGTCGCTGCGAATAAGGAGCGAGTCAAGGCCTTTCCGCCTGACTCGCCCGCAGTATTTGAGCTGTACTGGACTCCTTCGCAGGCCGAGGCTCGAGCGCATCCCAACATGCTCGAAACTCAGCGTTTCTTGCAGCGTCTCTGGCATTCATCTGACCCGGCGACTCGGATATCTACCAGATACCCTCTGACATATGCGGACCGCCTCCGTATCAGACAGCCGGGGGATGGTAAATTCACGCTTGGTCCCCACGTGGATGGGGGTTCACTCGAGCGTTGGGAGGATCCTGAGTATTCGCGGGTCTACACCAAGATCTTGGAGGGCAGATGGGAAGAATACGACCCTTGGGACGCGAAGCACCGCGTTTCCGCCAAGATGGATCTGTACAATGGAGCGGGAGCGTGCTCTATGTTAAGATTCTTCCAGGGCTGGCTTTCAATGTCCAAGACCGCCCCTGGAGAAGGCTCGCTGCATGTTTGCCCTATGCTCGTTCAGAGCACCGCCTATACCATTCTGCGTCCATTTTTCGATGCGAAGACATTGCAGCCCAACATCGACGCCACCTTTCCGGGCTCCGTGCCAGGTGCTTGCCAAGAATACAATCCAGTTACCCACCCTCACCTTGAACTGGACACCACCATGGTTCCGGTCCCAGAGGTCGAACCAGGCGATTATGTTGCCTGGCACTGCGACTCGTTGCATTCCGTGGACAAGGAACATAAAGGCAATGGTGACTCCAGTGTCCTCTATATCCCTGCCACTCCAATGAGTGAGATGAATGTGGATTACCTTCTCAAGCAGCGGAACGCGGCTCTTGCCTATTCACCACCCTGGGATTTTCCCGGCGCTGGAGGTCCGGGTGAGGCAGGTTTTAAGGGTGCATTGGACTGGTCTTCTGTCAACCCTGACGGCCTGCAAGCCATGGGTATGGGCACAAAGCCTTGGGAAGTAACCGGTGACATGACTGAGGGAGAGAAGGAAGTTGTTGAAGCAGCAAACAGGGCGTGCTTTGGCCAAGCTTAAGGAATTACTTCCAAACTTTCATGTAATTTATAAGTTTATCAGTATATACTTTGTCAATTTCTCATTCTTCCACTGCCATTGTTGTGGGATAAATAGTCTGTAACATAGTAACTAGCTCAAGCTCACCTTAGCTCAGCGTTCATCACCGCCCGCACCACCAATCAACAGTGGCATCATCATCTCCGCCATCAGATACCTGTCGACCACCAACTCCTTACTGTCCAACAGCCCACCTTAAACCTCCAATGACCGCTTTGGAGCTGAGGTTATGAAAATGTGGCTACGGGTGGCACTCTTGCTGCTCACCTCATGCGTTCCCTCGGCGGTGGCCATTTATCCTGATGAGGTCAATCATATCGATTTCCACCATGCGCTCCTGGGCACTCCCTCCGCACACTCGACTTTCTTCCTCAAGCCTTCCTCCTCCTCTAATGCCTCCCTGCTCTATACTCTCTCGCAGAAGCTACTTCTTGGTGCTGTGAACCCAAGAGATGGCTCACTGGTTTGGAGACAGAACGTTTCGCGATCATTGCTCTCAAAGGACGATGGCCAGGTACAGTCGTTCCTGCGTGCTTCCGATGGATCGAATGCGATGGTCAGCGCAGTGGGCGATTATATCTCTTCATGGAGTGCTTTGGACGGAAAATTAATTTGGGAGAACTGGTTCGCTGGTGAGCCCGTGGTCGACCTCGAGCTCTTGGAGCTCGAAGATGCCGGCGCGACTTCATCGACTCGAGATGCGATCGCACTGTACGGTGACAAGACAGGTGTCCTCCGGAGACTGGATGCTGAAACTGGGGATGTAAAGTGGGAGATTAAGGATGATAGGTAAGATGGATCACCCGGTGAAATACACTGTTGCTAATGCCTTTCTTTGGCTTGATTCAGTGGTGACATTCCCCTCCAAATATCTTCCTCCGCAACCGAGGTCTTCTACATCTCTCTACAATCGGGCCTGCTCAAGGGCTACAAGATTAAGATCACTTCGTTGGATCCCCTCACCGGCCGCCAGACTCAGCAACACATTTTGAACACGGAGAGTGACGTGTCTGGACCGGAGTCGGTTCTCTTCGTTGGTGCCAACACCGCTTCTCCAGTCATCGTTTGGACGGACAAGGCACAGAAAGCTTTGAAAATCAACCAGATTGGTCTGAAGCAAGTGAATACACTTAACATTGATAACACGAGCGGCGAGGAAATTAGGTCGATTGAAGTCCATACCCCGAAGAAGCTTAACTCTTTGCCGCATTTCCTCGTCCACTATGAAACGGACTCCAGCTCCTGGGCGGAAGTGTATCACATTGATCTGACCTCGGCGACCGTTTCCAAAGCATATAGTCTTCCTCGTCTGCAAGAAAAGTCTGCCTTTGCGACGAGCAACATTGACGCCAATGTCTATTTTACCCGCATCACTCAGTCGGAGGCTGTGGTTGTCTCATCTGCCTCTCATGGAGTCCTGGGCAGATGGCCGTTGCAGGCGCCTACGACTGAGCACGCTCAGCATGCCGTGTCCGAAGTAGTCGCCAAGGGGGACGCCGTCGCTGTTCGGTCCGCAACAGTCTTGTCATCGGGCGACTGGCAGCTCATTCGGAACGGCCAGACTGAGTGGACAAGATACGAGGCACTGAATGGGGCGGTTGCCGCTTCCTGGGCTGAAGAAGAATACCAGGAAGATCTCGCTCATGAATTGGAAGTTGAGGGGCATGAGAGCGTATATAAGGCCTACGTCCATCGTGTCAAGCGCCACGCCAAAGACCTTCAACACCTTCCAGGGTGGCTGAAGGAGTTACCCAAGCGAATTCTGACTAGTATTCTCAGCGACGAAGTGTCGAGCCTTGACGGTTTCGGACTCAGCAAAGTTGTTGTTGTGGCTACTGAAAATGGACGAGTGTATGGCATCGACACAGGAAATCACGGCGCTGTCTCTTGGAGCGTGAGGGCAGCTGAATCAGACAGCTGGAACGTGAAGGCGATCCTTACTCAACCTGGCTATGCCACTGTGTACGCCGACGACGGTAGCTCAGTGAGCCTGAACACGACATCTGGCGCTGTTATCAAGCGTACGCCCGCGTCAGGCAAGATCGCTTCTATCGCTGTCATCAATGGCCCTTCAACCCCTATCACCATTGGTGTCAAGGAGGATGGTGTGCCAGTGGAGCCTTTGGATAAACCTTGCTTTTTCGTGACTCTCAGTGCCGATGGCCGTGTTTTGGGATGGAGTGCCGCCGACAACAAAGCGCCTGTCTGGGAATTCCTGCCTGCTCAAGGCCAGAGGATCATCCGTGCTATTGCACGTCCCGCTCACGACCCCGTTGCCTCTATCGGCAAAGTTCTAGGCGACCGGTCGGTTCTTTACAAGTACCTGAACCCGAACCTGGCTCTGATCACGGCTGTGGGTGAAGACAGGGCCACATTCTACCTGCTGGACGCCATTTCCGGGAAAATCCTTCACAGCAGCACTCAGAAGGGCGTTGACACAAGTCAGCCTATTGCTTCTGCCATCTCCGAGAATTGGTTCGTTTACTCCTTCTATGGCGATCCACCAACCCCGTCAGACGCCAAGGGTTATCAGCTTGTGGTTTCGGAATTATACGAGTCGCCCCTCCCCAACGACCGGGGCCCGTTGGGATCTGCCTCGAACTACTCCAGCATCCACGGCACTGACATCCTGCCCCTGCCTCATGTGATTTCTCAAGCCTTCCTCATCCCCGAACCGATCTCGCACATGGCCGTCACGCAAACCCGTCAAGGCATCACAACCCGCCAGCTTCTCTGCACGCTCCCAGCTTCGAATTCCATCGTTGGTATTCCCCGTCCGGTGTTAGACCCCCGCCGACCTGTCGGACGGGACCCAACCTCCACCGAGGCCGAAGAGGGTCTGTTCAAGTACAACCCTGTCCTCGAGTTCGACGGCAAGTGGTACCACACACACAACCGCGAGGTCGCAGGCATCAAGGCCGTCCTCTCCAGCCCAACTTTGCTCGAGAGTACAAGCTTGATCTTCGCGTTTGGAGGGGACGTCTTTGGCACGCGAGCCGCTCCCAGCCAAGCATTCGATGTCCTCGGCAAGGGATTCTCCAAGCTGCAGCTCATCATGACAGTTCTGGCTTTGACCGTAGGTGTCATTATCTTGGCTCCAATGGTACGTTTCCTGTCCTTCCGCCCACACTTAACCCCGCGTGTATGCGACATGACATGAACAAAAAATACTGACCAGACTACAGGTGCGGAGAAAGCAGTCCAATCTGCTGTGGAAGGCAACCTAGGAAAGATGGGATAAACAAGCTATATAACTCCTTTCATGATTGTGTTTATTGCACTGCTGTTCACCTAATCTACCTGATGAGACTTAGAGAATTAAATGATGCAAGTACTCTGGGTAGAAAAAGCGGACTCGGAAGATAATCCCGCTAATCGATTGACGATGTTGATTTCGATGTTGATGTTGCATTGGCCGCCGCCGATAGCAAACACTAAGTAACTTATGCAAGACGCCGAATGGACATCTGCAATATGCGACTGAACAAGAAATAAATGAAAATCGGCTTTCTATGACATGCCCCGTTCAACGTGATAGGTCTATGTAATCGCCCATTGACGCCTGATGTATGTAGATTGAGCGACTGATCCTGACCGGACCAGTGAGATGAAAGAAAAACGAAACGGAATTTATGTTTATGGTATTAAACAGATACCGTCTTAGCATCGCCGTTAGCAACCTTCTCCGAGGCAACGTTGCTCAACGCCACCTTTTCATTTTCATTTTCATTTTCATTTTCCGACTGAACGTCGGATTGCTCTGTTGATGATGCTGCTGGCGCTAGGCTCGTAGCAGCCATCTTGGCCTCCAATTCTGTGTTGTCTGTTGTATTCGTGTTCTCTTGGTCCTTGGCAGGCATAGGCACAGGGACAGTCCGCTGTCTGCTCTTGCCGTCGATCTTGCCCAGGATTTCGACGTGGTCGCCCTTGAACAGGACGGGGCCCTTGGTGAAAGAGGGCTTGGTCTCGCCTTCAGCAGGAGGGATCTCCAGCGCACCGACCAGCTCGCGTGCGGGCTCGTCGAGGTTTGGCATATCGCCCCACTGCCAGTCGAGTTCGCCGCCATATTGCTTGGGGATGCTGGAGGGGTCCATGAAAGAGGTGAGGGTGGGTTTTACCTCTGCGGCGGAGAGGATGAAGATCTTGGAGGTGGTGACTGGGTCGAACCAGCGCTTGATCCAGCCCCAGACCGTGGGGAAGAAGGCGGGGGCACCGATAATCTAGTAGGTACATGTTAGACACCGTGTCAATAGGTGGTGGGGGAAGGGGGGAGACGTACGAAGATCCGGTCCAGAGTCTCCGGGTAATGCGCTGTAGCTAACACGCTCGCATCCTGCATGTGCCCCTTCAAGTTCCAGAATTGCTTCAGTCCAACCCCGCTGACATCAACGATGTTCGTTGACGAGACGATCGGCGTCTCGGGGTGAGGGCGCGGGAGCTGAGTGCATAGCGGCATGACAAAGCGGAGGAGGTTCTCATAGAGGGCGAAAAGGCGCAGCAGGCGCTGCGGCACCGTCGAGGACTGGTGCGTCTCTGCCGTCGAGGCGGGGTCGGTCATCGTGGAATTATAAGCGGCCATGTTCTTGCTGTTCAGATGCTTAATCTCGAACACATAAATAGGAATACCGCGCCGGTCCCGACGACCCGTCCATTGCGGATACTATATCCATACCGCGAACCAGGGTCAGTCACTTGTCCCTCCACGAACTCATTAAGCACAGCGCGTATAGGTTCCCAGACTCACCATCCGTCGCGCGGCATCGTACGAGTCCACTTCAATGTTTGCATATAGCTCCTCGATGGCATTCTCCTTGCGCCAATCCTCTGTATCTTTGAATTGGCCCCAAGCACCATTCACATCGAACTTGCGCGCGCGCAGAAACCGCCTGATTGTAACCATTCAGCATGCTATTTCTCCATAACACCCAATCCTAGAATCAACGCGAAACGGGGAAAACGCACAGCATAGTCGCATCATCATGACTGGCCTTCCCGTCCTCACCCTGCCCCTCAGGCTTATAGTACCCATTCCGCTCACACAGCGCCTTAAACTCCTTCAACTTCTCCTCCTGGTCCGGCGTGAGGTGATTCAAATGGCCAGCGAGCCACGCCGTGCTTGCCGCCTGCGAAGCCGACGCAGCCGGGTCGTTCTCGGCGTATTCGGCCGGTTGTATCGACGAGGCATCGTTCTCCGCCTGGCTGTCGTGGGATTTGGTACGCCACAGAGGCATTCTGAAAGTCGGGTGCCTTGCGTGCGAGACTCCACTCGGTTTGTCCCTTTTTTTGTTTTCTTTACCCCAAACTGATTAGATAAGATGCGCGAATATAAGAAAGCGAAAGCAAGGGTCGCGGGGGTTTTTGGTGCTGACTAGCAAACAGCGCTTCGCTTCGTCTTACACCCCTCCGCGGCAAGCCCGGATGTCCTAAGCAAGGCGATAGTGTCGGACCGGCTAGTAGTCGCTGTGTCGGCAGTTCCAAACGCAGTAGAACTTCAGTGGTGATACCGATACTCACTGCGCAAATCCAGCTGCGAGAAGTGATGCGTTTTGAAGAGCCGAGAAAAGATCTTTTGCCCTGCTGGAAGTCGCCGCAAAGAAGTTGTTTGTTGTTCTGCATAAGGGCGATTATGTCAGCATAAAAAATGATCGATCCGATTATGCAGTCAATAATCATCGCACCAAACAATAACACTACGAATTGATCGACAAGCAGATCGACAAGCTGTGAAGCAGGTGGACAAATGATTGTCAAATGCTCATTTTGGTTATTCTTATTAGAAACTTTCCAGGGACATCCTATGCTGTATGCTAAGGGATATCATCGAGAAATACAGAAGAATATGACCGGCCAAAAGCAGAACTGCCAATTTTTTTCAAAGGCATGGATGCGTTTTACCTTACCCGTAAATGTACAATCGATCCAATTCCCAGGTTCCAAGCTGAAAAGGCATTCCCCTTGACGGTGCCTATCGCTTAGTCCTCGGTGAGGTCTCCATACTCCCACATGCCGCGTCTCTCCTGCTTAGCCTCATCCTCGACGCTGCGCAGGTTAGATAGAGTCTCGCTGGCAGCACGCTCCCAAGCCTTCAACTTCCGAGGAACCATGGCCAGACCCTCACGGACAATTTCGGCGTTGATGCTCTGGTCCAGGCTCTTCGATACCGAAGGATCCAACAAGGTAACGTGCATCGTTCCGTCAGAAGCGACGTAGTCGACATTGGCGACCAGTGTTCGACCATATGTCAGTTCCTCAAGATAGCTGACGGCATCCTGGAGGTAATCGGCGGAGACGGGGAACTGCACGAAGGACAGCACGGCGTCCGAAGCTTGAGCGCGGAGCTTCTGGACGGAGAACTGGGGCTGGCTCAGGGGTCGGAGGCGGGACCACGGGAGGATCTCAGAGTTACCGTAGTCGATGTACACAACCTCTGCCTGCTGCTTCTCACGGTCATTGCGACGCACCCTGGCACGGTACCAGTCGCCATCCTCGGTGAATTTGGCAGCCACATAATCACCGGCCTTGGGTGGGCCAGGGAGCGGAGTGTCATTGGCCTTGTTCAAATGGAAAGAACGGAAAGCGCTCATCAGCTCTGTTAGGGCAGAGGTGCCTGTGCCAATCTGCTGGATCTTGATCTTTCCGGATGCGGGGTCGACATAGGTGACCATCACGTCCCGGTAGTCCTTACGACGCTCGGTAGCCTCACCCTCCGCGCCGTTGCTACCATTGGCAGGTTCCTCCTCAGCTTCCTCAGCCTCCTTGCTTGGATCCCAGTCGTGCCACAGACCCTTCCGGGCCTCCTTTGCCTTCTGCTCAGCTGCAAAGTACTCGGTAGCGTGACCGGACTGCTCTGCCGAGTAGGCATGAACCGTGGCCAGACCCTCCTCCAGGAGGACCTTGGCAAAGTCTTCCTTGTTGACGTACAGAGTGCCAATGAAGCCACCCACCTTGTCAATGGTTTCAACGTCGATCTCGACATCGCGTTGCATGCACCGCTTGTTCGCCAAGTCATGGGCTTCCTGGCCGAACGGTTCACCTGCTTCACCAGGATTGCGAGCTGAGCGGGGCGCACGGATACCGGATAAAACCAAGGTCAACTTGGCATTCTCTCGGGGCACAAGAACGGTAAAACGAGATCCTGACTTGACAAAGTCCACAATGGCGGGGACACGCTTCTGACGTTGCAGAATCGAAACTTCCATCTTAGCCTTCTGCAAGCTCTCGGAGTAGTCCTGGTACTGCTTGGGCTTAGCCGGCTTGGGAGACCACATTCCCTTTCCGTCCTTCTGAGCTTCCGCCTCGGCGATAAGCAGGGAGTCATAGTCAGGGGAGCGATCCTCGTCGTCCTGGCGGTGACGAATGACCGAAGCATAACCAGCCTCCACAAGCGCGAGAGCGATGTTGGTGTTGCCCTGAATCACTGTTGCGACGTCCCTCTCCTCGTAGCCCTCATTCGCAGGCTTCTTGCCGTTGATTGTGACCTTGACGTGCTTGCCAATGAGCCTCTTACGCACGAACTCCTTGGCATCCGCCTGGAAAGGTGCCTGCTTAGGATCGGACGGCTTGGGCTGTCTAACACTGCTCAGACTGATCTTCTTCTCCTCACCGGCCTTGTTGCGGAGGATCAGAGTGTCTGCGTTCAGCACTCGGCTGACAATGTAATCCTGATCGGCGGCCCCGCCAGCAGGACCCTTCGCGACAAGTCCAGCGAATATGCCCTTCCTATTATCCTTGGCCTCCTTCTCCGCGCGCCGGAACGCTGCCATTTCGGCTCCGAGCAACGTTGAGTGGTGGTCGAAGCAGCGGGCAAGGCCGGCTTCCAGGAGGAACTTGGCGATATTGCCATTGGGGTGGAGGACAGTGGCGATTAGTTGTCCCTGGGGAGTGACGCCGAGAAGGGACACCTGAACCTTGCGCTGCAGAAGCCGCGCCTCGACGAACTGGTATGCCTCGTCCCCGAAGGGTTCGCCAGGCTGTTCCTTGCCCTCAGCATTGACCCGTTTCGCGGCCGGGGCCCGAACTCCCGCAACAGCAACAACCGTCTGCAAATGTTCTTCGGGCGACAAAAGCAGGCGGAGTACTAGCCTGTCTCCGTTCAAAACTCTCTCGACAACGGCCTCGAGGTGCTTGTCCTTCCACTCATCAACCAGGGATTTTGCGTCGTCGACCTCGTAGCTAGTCTCTGTACGGCCCTTATCCGCTCCGGCCCACATACCCTTGCCTTCGGTACGGGCGTGGTCCTCCAGAGCACGGAGTCGCTCAAGATATGCGAGTGTCTCTTCGGATTCGTCGCTGCGTTTGCCGGCCTCTTCACGGACGCGGGTCCATCCTTCTTGCACACTGATATCGGGCAGGGAGGCGTCAAAGCCAGGGAGCTTGATTGTGCCGTAGTCACGCTTGGCGCCGGTAGGGATTGTGTAGAGGACCTGGAACTGGATTACTTTACCCACGAGGACCTCGCGGAGGAATTCCCGGGAGTGGAAGCCGTATGGCTAGAGATAAGTCAGTGACAATTCGGAATAGCAGTTCAATCAAAGAGCATAAGACATTTCTGAAGGACTATGTGTAGAAGAAATGTGCCAATTGGGTTTGCTGGAGCTGGAATGGGCGGAGAGTAGAGGGATTAGAGGCCACCTATCCAGGCACCAGAAAGATGGATTTCAAAAGCAACAAAGTGAGGTAGAGCAATTGAATCGCAGAAATCTAGAAACTCACCTCATCGCCTTCTCTCCTCAGTCTAGGAGCTGAGACATATGCAAGACTAAGGGTGCGTTCCTGTCCAGGGTTCGTGACATGGGACAGGACAACAGTGTCGCCCGACAGGACAGATTTCACGCGGGCTTCCAGAGGCATGCTGAGGAAGCCACAAAAGACTTGGGACGATAAGGGATTGACGGGGAAGGGGAAAAAGAGATTGTTGCAGCAACAATCGATTGTTTCAAAGAATTTTGAATGGTATAATTAGAAGAACAAAAAAGCAAAGACACAAGAAAGTGATGGGGAAATAAGGTCCAGGTGAAGAGGAGAGCTTCCACTTTGGGGCCACCTGACTTTCTGTGGGGGAAGCCGCTAACAGTCTGTCTCTGGCCAGGGGTAGTCCCCATTGGCGATACTGATAGGTGTCATTCAACTAAAGCATGTAAGGAGATTTTAGAACAATTTTTAAATAGATGTTGGATCATTCAATTGACAAGTGGATTAATAGCTATATTTGCAGCAACTATTTCATCATAAAAGCACATCAATTCGTGAATGCTATTCAGCACCTAAACCTGAACAGCCGTGAGTTCAGAACAGACCCCTTTCTTGGATCTCTCCTCGGGTACTCGAACAAATATCGTTCTGTTACTTATTCCCAGTCTGAAGACGATCCAAGCACTTTTATGCTAATCAAAGTTGATAGGCGAAGTTGATTGGCGCTTAAGCAGCGATACCAATGACACCTATTGGAAGAGCCGACAAGTTAACGCATGCCAACCTTTATCTATGGACTGAGAGGCACTTACCACAGGCAGGACGAGGACCAGCGTTACCAGTCTTCTTGGACTCCTCGTTGCCGCCCTTGCCAAGGTCGTCGGTACCGGCGTGAACGACCAGGGTCCGCTAACATTTGTTGTCAGCTCACTGTCAAATCCATGCATCACCGTCCACAAAAACTTACGCCCAGAACGCTCTCAGCACCAATCAGCTTAATAAGCTTATCCTGCTTGGAGCCGACGGCGTTACCCTCGGCATCGGTCTCGAAGTTACCAAGGTCACCGACGTGACGCTCGGAGTCCTCGGGAGCTCCATGGGTCTTGCCATAGGGGTTGACTGAACGTCGGTCAGTTCTGGTGTTCGTAGAAACCACTGATAAGAGGACCTACAGTGAGGACCAGCGGAGGTGCAGCCGTTGGTGTTGTCACCGAACTGGTGGACGTGGAAGCCACGCTTGGCATTGGGGTCGTTGCCCTTGATGTTCCAGGAGACGGTGGTGGGAGAGTTCTCGTCGGCCTGCTCGAAGGTGACAGTGCCGGTGATCTTGGAGTCACCACGGACGACAGCAACTGAGAAGGAAGTTAGTCATCCTGCAAAGGTAGGAACGGCACACAAAGTACGAAAAGCTTCCAGAAAACGGCAGAAGCTCGTTTGGTTCGCTCAGCTGCAATGACTGGGGCGTAACTCCATGGATACTGGTTGCTCAGATAAGGTAGAGCCCGTCCACAGCTTCCCAGCTCCCTCTAGCCATGTAGACCTGAGCAAGGCAGCAAACATGGGCAGAGTAAGGAGCGAATGGGAGCATCCATTGTCTATCAAGAGCAGCGAGTACGCTTAATTACCCCAGAGTCAGGATCCAACGATGACGGATGATAGGCCAGGAAGCTGGCGAGGCTGGATCGCAAAGTGCTCAAATGTGCTCACTCAAGGTCCCCGGCCACGGTCGATCGTGGATCCCAACGACAGGAAGAAACCAATGAAAAACACGAAAGGCAATACAAAATAAGCATAAAGTCACCTACCAGCCTTGACCATTTTGACGGTTTGAATCGTGTCTTGTGAAATATGACTTGAACAGAGATTCGAGAGAGTTGAATGGCAGAGATGACGATGGAAAAAGGACGAGGAGAAATCGAGAGGCAAACCTTGGGGACGAGGGGTAATTTCTACTACTAATAATGACCTAGGTTAGGATAGACAGCAGTCCTATTAGCTACTACGTACTAGATACAGGGTGGGCTCATAGGTATCATTCTACTCCGTATTCGATAGGTTTCCAATCGGTCCAATTTTCGTCTGCTTTCCATCGACCCATCCGCCTCGACTGCCCCTCCTCATTGGGGCCCTTGGGAGCTGTTGGCCTCTCAAAAGGCGAAGAACGGGCTACCCCACCTGTGCTGGCGGGGTCGTCGGAATGACGTTTGTTTGTGTATTTATCGTGGACTCAAGAGCATGGATAAGTAGGTAACTCTTCATGTAGTCGACGACTAGACAGCTCAGTTTCGGACCTTTGGGTATGTACTGTATTGTACCGAGTACCCAATATCATTCTTTCAAGTGATCGATTCATAAGCCGTTCGGTCTCGACTGCGGAGACAGAGACCTCCTCAGTTCGAGCTGAGCGAGAGCTGCAGATCCGCGGAAAAGGCTGCCATACTAAACCCGTAATCCCGTAATCATCATTTGTAAGCTAACTAACAAGCTGTGCGACCCAGTATCTAAGTAATGAACTGAAGCTAGATAATTCAAGTATCTCGACTGTGTTTTGTTTGTACGGCATTCGTGACTATGAGCTTCAGATACATCATCTAATAATCTCGGCCCTCCTTTTAAGTGAGGAGGTGGTTCAACCCCAGATGACGTACCTCGGATATTGTACACCAGCTGTTTTCCGACCATGCTTCTTCGGCCTAGTCTTCGAACATGTTCCTTCACTTAAGCCTACGTAGCAACTAAAAAGTACCAGAAGATTGATAAAATATGCCACGCCAATTTCAAATGATGTGGAGAGAATTCATTACATGATCCATTCATATCTACGAGGCCAATTTTTCATGCCGCCAATTTTAACAAAGAAACACATTAGCAAAAAAAGAAAAGAAACAGGATTCAACAGCAAGACAGATCAAGGCAATTTCCCAATCTAAGCCTGGATCTTCTGCTTGAGGAGCTCCTTGAGGGTGACGGCGTCAGCCGCGAACTTGGAGATACCCTCGCGCAGCTTCTCAACAGCCATAGCCTCCTCGTTGAAGTCGAAGCGGAAGGTAGCCTCGTCGTTGATGTAGCTGCGCTTGGGGATGTCGAGGCTGGCGGCATTGGCGGCGTCGAGCTTCTTGGGGACGGAGGCTGTCGAGTTGTACAGCTCCTCGAGCAGGTTGGGCTACACCTCTAGGTTAGTTTTGGTCGCGCGACGATCAAGACGGATAACATACCGAGATGGTCAGGTAGTCACAGCCGGCCAACTCTGTGATCTCACCGGTGTTACGGAAGGAAGCTCCCATGACGATGGTCTTGTAGTTATACTTCTTGTAGTAGTTGAAAATGCTCTGAACGGACTTGACACCGGGATCCTCCTCGGGGCTGTAGTCGCGCTTGTGCGCAGCCTTGTACCAGTCCAGGATACGGCCGACGAAGGGCGAGATGAGGAAAGCACCGGCCTCAGCAGCAGCAATGGCCTGGACAAGGGAGAACATGAGCGTCAGGTTGCAGTTGATGCCGTGCTGAGACTGCAGGATGTGGGCGGCCTTGATACCCTCCCAGGTGGAGGCGATCTTGATAAGGATACGGTCCTTGGAGATGCCTTGTTGCTCGTAGAGCTGCGCGAGTCAGCTATGTCTCGTCATCTGCTTATTCGGTCAGGTCTGGCGTACCTTGATGATGTGAAGGGCCTTGTCGACGGAAGCCTGGGTGTCGAAGGACCAACGAGCATCGACCTCAGTGGAGACCTTGCCGGGGATGATTTCGAGGATCTTCTTGCCGAACTCAACGAGAAGGTTGTCGAGGGTAGCGTCGACCTGCTCATCAAGAGTCTTGCCCTGTCGGGGGGGTCAGTAACAGATCAATATCACGTGGCTATTCAGTGACGGACCTCGCTCTTGCCCTTCTGGACGGCAGCATCGATCAGGCTGGCGTACTCGGGCTTCTTAGAAGCCGCCAGGATCAAGGAGGGGTTGGTAGTAGCATCCTGAGGCTTGTACTTGCCAATGGCTGCAGAGTAGTCAATATCCGAATCGAGGCTGAACAATATTAACGGGACGAAGGAAACATACTGGCAAAGTCACCTGGAGAGATGCGCTATTAGTTATGTTTTTGCAGCCATATATCCGCAATGATAGAAAGAACTCACCAGAGTCGCAGACAACAACCTGTATAGACGGTAGGCCTAGTGATTAGCGATCCCATCCTGATGTGGCGCAAAAAGGCCACAAAATAATTGACTTTGGACTTACGGTGCCAGTGGCCTTGAGCTGTTCGAGAGCGGAAGTCATTGTGATGTGATGTGAGGAAGACAGACAAGCTAATCAAACACAGGATAGATTGAATCTGTATGTGAAAGCGTTAGAGATGATAGATGGAGAGAATGATATGAATTCGTTTAAGAAGGAAAGAGGATCGAAGACGGAAGACGTGGCGAAAGGAGAATTGAAGTACTTACTAACTCGTAGGAGGGGGGGTAGATTGGCGGGCGAGAGACTTCCGCTGGTAAGGAGCGATGAATCTATGGAAATGGAGCATTGGATAATGGTGGGATGGTGGGGTTATGACGGTATGCCCATGGATGACATGATTCTTCACATATAACCGGTCGGCTTCCATCATAACCGTCCCTACTTCTTTAGATACCACATATTTTTCCTCCCTCTCTTCAACACAGGCGAATTAGCCGATCTACAAGCGCTCTCTTCCATCCGTTGTCATCAAATTATCCTACTCTCACCGTTGTCTTCCCTTCTCGATCCAGGTGTTTTCTCGGTGCAGAGTACTCCGATGTCCGGGTAGCACGGTCGCTCCACTCATTGCTCCCAACTGGGCCATGCTCCAATAATAGTCTAGGTGGTGAGGTGCCCTTTTCCTTCACCGAAGTTAATGGCAAACTAAATCACGGTTAAACAACTTTTGTTTTCCCTCTCATAAACAAAATAGCCGCCGCATGCCTCCCGTCTATCTATACGTGCTTTTGATACTATATACATACGGTACAGTCATCCCTCCTCGATGTAGGCCAATCCGGTCAAGGCGATTTGCACCTCGAGAGTAGATGACAGCGAACGACAAGATCGCAGTCGCAAGCAATTATGTAGACTACCTCTTTACTCTTGGCGAAGGTATTCAACGGCGTTGGACACAATTCCACTCGTACTGGTTCGGAGATAAGC